AGTGACTGAAACCCAGGCGGCATCAGGAGGTCCACCAGCAGGGCCAGAACTCCAGAATCCCCCCCCCGTTGCCCCCCAAGCACCAAGAATACAGAGCATCCCTGCCCCAGACATATGAACATAAGAGAAGCCATGTTGGATTCGGCCAATGGCTTCTCTTATGTTCTTATGTTGACCGTTGGAGCTAACCCCCTGGAAAGAAAATGTTTTGCCAGGTCCCCCCTGGCCACCAGCAGGGGATAAGGGGGTCAGGTTGCCAGATCCAGGTTGGGAAACACCTGTAGATTTGGGGGTGGACCCTGGGGAGCACAAAGATCTCAGTGGGGTACAAGGTCCTCAAGTCCACCCTCCAAAGCACCCGTTTTCTCCATGGGAAGTGATCTCTGTAATCTGGAGATGAGCAGTAATTCAGGGGGGGATCCCTGGGTCCCACCTGGAGGCTGGCATCCCCATTTGCAGAGGTGGCTTGTCCTGAGGATGTCTGAAAGGAACCTTCCGCTCCAACAGCGCTGGATTCTCCCAGGTCTTGCTGCACATCAAGATCCACTTTGATTTTGCCACGAGCGAAAAATTCAATGGCTCCTCAGAGCTGGCAGAAGACGCTTTGGTGCCTGAGGTGAGAAAACCTCCAGCGAGGGTTCCCTGACACCCATTACCCTGGGCCCCAATCCACCAGTAAATTCTCCTGTACAAGCCTTGTTTCAGCAGAAAAGTGTCATTTCTTTAGAGAAATGCATGTGCCGCCTCTGTGGGGAGACCAGGTTCGAGGCAAAGAGGTGGGCCCCGTTCCTCCTGTTGCCCTCAGGACTTCAGTCTGCACCCGGACTGAGAGACGAGCCATGCTCCCTCTAACCTGTGGGGTCTTGTGAGCAAAAATTCTACTTTGTGAGCGACTGGCATTAAAGTTGTGATTTGGCCGCTGCATAAATTAGCTTGCTCTGGAGCCGTCCCTCCTGAGCTAAGACAAAAAACGCTGAGCTGGAGGCTAAAAAATCCCCTCAGCTTAGAGGGAACACTGGAGGCGAGCAAACATCTCAGCAGGCTGTGCTTCTTCCCCTCAGATGTCCCAAATCCATGGCCTGACCAGAGACGGTGCTAGGGTTGCCAGGTCTGGGTTGGGAAATTCCTGGAGATTTGGGGGGGGTGGAGCAGGGGAGGGTTGGGGAGGGGAGGGACCTCAATGGGGTATAACAGGGTTAGGGTACGGCAAGGACAGAGATGGGAAGGACAGAGAAGCAGACATGTGTGGGTTCCCTGCCCGATCTTCTCCAGGTGACCCGCGACTGCGGGGCAACTGGAGAAGATCAGGCAGGGAACACAGGCATTTAAATCAGGCAGGGAACACAGGCATTTAAATCCCCTCCGAGTCTCTCCGCGGGTGGGGTGGAGTGAGGCCTGGGCTCCTTACTGCCGGAACGCCGCTCCGGGGCGCTCCGGCAGGAAATGACCCCTGTATGACACCATAGAATCCACCCTCTGAAGCCGCCATTTTCTCCAGGGGATCTGATCTCTGTTGTCTGGAGATCAATTGTAATAGCGGGAGATCTCCAGGCCTCAGACGGCGGTTGCCACCCCGAGGTGGCCACTTGCCTTCAGGATGGGGCAGCCTCTGGCATTTCTCCTGTCCAGGCTGAGGGCAGAGCCCACGAGGGCCCGAGCAGGGAGGTCGCTCTTCCTCTGACTCTGCAGCCCCAAATCTATTAATAGGCGGGCTCGGAGCCTGCCAGGTCACGCTCTCCCCGCTCCCAGGTGAAGGGAAGGGGGATGACTTGGCAGCTGTGCCGTTGGGGATGACATAACTCCCTCCTGGCCACTCCATGCCTGTTCCAGAGCCAGAGTCCTGCCTTGGCATAGCAAAACCGGCCCAAAGGCTTGGATTAGCTGTTCCATCCCTTCCTGTCCTCTCCGCCTCTCCCACACGTGGATGGGGACACGTGTGGGCCAAACTGCCCAGGCCCGGGGGTGGGCTGCAGCCTGTGTCTCCAGCCGGCCGGCCTTGGGGCCATTGCTGAGCTCCGTCCTGAGGTGGCTTTTTGCAAGAGAGCACTTTGGGACCAGGTGTCAGCTATGCTGCCATGGGGGTTGGGGAGTTCATTCTGTGTCTTGCTCATTGCTATTGCATTCCTGTCTCTGCTGTCTTGCCTGTGCCGCAATGCTGATCTCTACAGATGTGCAGGAAGTTGTTATGTTGGAAGTTGTATTGTCTGGAAGTCTCCTATTCACCATGAGAGACTGTAGCTTCCCAGCTTTCGCCACCTAACGGTTTTCTGGCTGGTCCCACGCGTGGGAGGGTTCCTAATTGGCCCATGCCATGGGGGTGTGTGTCCATATGAATACCCTATATCCTATTATGCTCAATGGGTTGCCGCCATTCTCAACAGTAACTGCATCTATAGTAAAGGTAAAGGTAAAGGTTCCCTTGCTCGAAAGCCAGTCGAATCCGACTCTAGGGTTGCGGTGCTCATCTCCGTTTCCAAGCCGAAGAGCCAGCGCTGTCCGAAGACGTTTCCGTGGTCATGTGGCCAGCATGACTAAACACCAAGGTGCACAGAACGCCGTTACCTTCCCACCGAAGTGGTCCCTATTTATCTACTTGCAATTTCTTGCTTTCGAACTGCTAGGTTGGCAGGAGCTGGGACTAGAGACGGGAGCTCACTCCGTCATGCGGCACACTTGGGTCTTGAACTGCTGAACTACCGACCTTCCACAGCCTACAGTTCAGCGTCTTAACCACTTGAGCCACCACAGCTCCAGAGACTGCATCTATAGCTTTGCAGTAAACGTATAACCATTCTTGAATGCGTGTACTTCGTTGTGAGCTGTGGGTTCTGACACCAGGTTGTATGGAGGGAGGGGGAGCCAATGGGCTGGGAGGGAGAGACTGGAGCGTCCTACAGACTCCCTCTGGAAAGAGATTATTTCGCACTTTGTTGTCGTCTTGGTCGTTTCGATGCTTATTCAGGCAGGGATCCCTGGGCCTCAGGAAGTGCCAATCATTGCTTTAAACAGTCCTGTTTACAAATAAATAGGGTTGCCAGCCTCCAGGTGCTGCCTGGAGATCTCCTGGGATTACAACTGATCTACAGGCTAGAGAGATCTGTTCGTGTTATGTCCGCTGACCGCCACCAGGCGACAGCGACTTATACCAGAGCTTGGTTCTCAGAGACAACAGGGACTGGGATCCTGAAACCTCTAGTGGTCACCAATAGGAACTTTGGCGGGAAGTTTAAACCCTCGGATAGGACCTGTGGGTGGGCCAAAGGGACTGTATGTCATTGGTCGACCGGCCGGTATTTTCTGTGTTATGTTGTGTACGAGTGGACATGTGCTGACTATCACTCTGTTTCCTGATCATTCGATGCGTCAAACCCTCTACACAACAGTTCGCCTGGAGAAACTGGCTGCTTTGGACGGTGGACTCCAGGGCACTGCGTTCTGCACTATGTTCCCCAGGCTGCACCCTCAAATCTCCAGGAATTTCCCCAACCAACTCTTACCAATAAAACCAGTCACCACCAGTGTTCCCTCTAAGCTGAGTTAGTGTGAGCTAGCTCACAGTTTTTTAGCCTCCAGCTCACACATTGTCGTCTTGGCTCGGGAAGGACGGCTCCGAAGCAGACTCATTGATGCAGCAGCCAAATCACTTGCTCACAGCTTTAAGGCCAGCAGCTCACAAAGTAGAATTTTTGCTCACAGGACCCCACAGCTTAGAGGGAGCGTTGGTCACCACCGTCTGAATCACGTCTTGTCTTGTTGCAGTGCCGATCTTTCATACCTCCATTCGGAAACCCCTCCTCTCTACCCCTCGTAGCCCGTGTTCACACAGGCTTTTGCGGCTCACGTTGCTTCGTCTTGACACACACCGCCATTCTCCCGAAATGGAGACAGAAGGCAGCTCAGACCATTCCCTCTCTTTCATTTAATCTTCACAGCAACCCCACCAAGGTCACCTAGCAAGCGTCCATGGGCAGTGGTAAGGATTCAGACCTGGAGTCTCCCAGATCATAGCCCACCACGCGAAAACTTCAGTGCCCCAGAATCCGCAGACTGCCACTTCCTTGCCGTGATAGAGCCCTGCATTACACAGAGAGCCAGTTTGGTGTTGTGGTTCCCTCTAAGCTATGGATTCTTGTGAGCAAAAATTCTTCTTTGTGAGCTACTGGCCTTAAAGTTGTGAGCGAGTTATTTGGTTACTGCATCAATTAGTTTGCTCTGGAGCCATCCTTTCTGAGCTAAGGCAAAAAGGTGTGAGCTGGAGGCTAAAAAACTGTGAGCTAGCTCACCCTAACTCAGCTTAGAGGGAACACTGGCCCCAACTGCTGTATTTGTGAAGCTATCATTGGGTGGGTGAGAGATTTTTAAGGCGAAAGGAAACGTGTTCCCCTTTCCCCTTCTCCTCCTCTTCTTCTTCTTCTTCCTTGCTTTGCTTGGAGAGAAGCCTTAAAGTAGCAACGGATGAATGCCTCGGGTATGGGGTTGCCAGCTCCTCCCTGGCAGGGGGGGACGGGACAGTAAAGTAGCATTGCCAGATCTAGGTTGGGAAACTCCTGGAGATTTGGGGGTGGAGTCTAGGGAGGACAGGGACCTCAGTGGGGGACAATGCCATAGAGTCGACCCACCAAATCAACTGGTTTTTTCCCTGGAGAACTGATCTCTGTAGTCTGGAGATGAGCTGTAATTCTGGAGGATCCCCAGGTCTTCCCTGGAGGCTGGCATCCCTACACAGCTGGTCACTGTTGTCCAGTTTAAGAGTTGAATGGTTTGCTCATGAGACAGCCACAGCAGCAGGGCCTGTCATGAGGAACTGGTGGGCTATCTCCACATGCATCTTCCTTCCTCACCTTTCCTGAGGGGAAAAACCAGCCCTGTGCGTAACTCAGTCTGTGAACAGACACGGTGACAATACCTGATGACTGCTCTCTTAGGGCGTGAGACAGAACATTCTAGAATGGGGTGGTTTGATTACACCCATTCGATGCCCTCAGAGGCATTTCTTTTCAGGGTACCAAAATATGTATTCATATACAAACTATGTATTCATATATAGAGTGGGAGGGCTTCTAGTGTCCTGGCCCCACTGCTGGACCTCCTGACGGCACTTGGTACTTTTGGCCACTGTGTGACACAAAGTGTTGGACTGGATGGGCCACTGGCCTGATCCAACATGGCTTCCCTTGTGTTCTTAAGATCCTTGCCCCACCCTTCAAGCAGGACACCTGTCTTCACCCTGATTTACAAAAATATACAACTGTGAAGACTTACTAAGTAGTAATCAGATTTGATTATTACTTAATAAGTGATGACGGTTGTATCTTTTTGTATTTTTGTGACCTCTCGTTCTGTGATTCACCCTGATTTAGGCTGAGGTGAATTAGCCTAGATCCCATTTTGACTTGGATGGCCTTGTAGAAAAATGGAAGGCTGTTATCATTAGGGGAGGAGCCAGGGCTCAGAGTGAGAGCCTCTGCTTGGCATGCAGAAGGTCCCAGGTTCAATCCCCGGCACCTCCTGTTGAAAGGTTCAGGTAGGAGGTGGTATGAAAGACCTCTGCCTGAGACCTTGGAGAGCCACTGCCCATCAGAGTAGACAATGCTGACCTTCATGGAGTAGCGATCTGATTCAGTAAGAAGCAGCTTCCTGTGTTCCTGCGATCATCAGTTTCATATTCTTGTGTAGCCTAAAACAAAGGGAAGAGAGGTCTGCCCTTTCTTCCCCTGGTGTGACCACGATGAACAGATTTTGGGCCTGGATTTTTGGCAGCTGTTCTGCCTCAGGAAAAGGAATTACACACAAATGCCGGTAGTGAGGCCCCAACCAATGTTCCCTCTAAGCTATGGATTCTTGTGAGCAAAAATTCTTCTTTGTGAGCTACTGGCCTTAAAGTTGTGAGCGAGTTATTTGGTTACTGCCTAAATGAGTTTGCTCTGGAGCCCTCCTTCCTGAGCTAAGACAAAAATGTGTGAGCTGGAGGCTAAAAAACTGTGAGCTAGCTCACCCTAACTCAGCTTAGAGGGAACACTGGCCCCAACTGCTGTATTTGTGAAGCTATGATTGGGTGGGTGAGAGATTTTTAAGGCGAAAGGAAACGTGTTCCCCTTTCCCCTTTTCTTGCCCACAACAATCGGCTTTTTCCTCTGTGGGGTTCCAGTCACGTCTCTCGAAAAGCAAACAAGAAATTCTCCTTTTTCTGACGAAGGATTTTGGGTAACTGGAACCCTTGCACGCTCCTTTATTGACAGAAGTTGAATCAACGACGACGTCCGATTGGAATTTTTTCCCTGTATCCCCAAAGAGAAATATTAAATATATAGTGTGCGCAAAGTGGCCCAAAGTTAGTGGTCAGCTGTGGTTACTGTGGATTAGCCCTCTCCCATGTACCTGATGAAGAAATTTGTGCTGCTTAGGAATTAGGGTTACCAAGTCCCCCTGGCCACCGGTGGGAGATGGTGGGGGCCTAGGGTTGCCATATCCAAGTTGGGGAACTCCTGGAGATTTGGGGATTGAGCCTGGAGAGGACAGGGACCCCCGTGGGGTCCAGTGCCATAGAACCCACCCTTCGAAGCATCCATTTCCTCCAGGGGAACTGATCTCTGTAGCCTGGAGGTGAGCTGTAATCCTGGGGGGGTCCCCAGGTCCCACCTGGAGCCTGGCATCCCTATATGTGAAGACATTTATCCATTGAATTTGAAATGCAAGGTTATCAATGATGGAAGTTGGAATCATAGAATCGCAGAGTTGGAAGGGGCCACACAGGCCATCTAGTCCAACCCCCTGGCTCAATGCCGGATCAGCCTAGAGCATCCCTGACCAGTGTTTGTCCAGCCGCTGCTGAAGGACTGCCAGGGAGGGGGGGCTCAACCACCTCCCGAGGCAGCCCATTCCACTGGGGCACAACTCTGACTGTCAAGAAGTGTTTCCTCAGATCCAGCCGGTACCTCCCCGCCCTTAATTTAAACCCATTCTTGCGAGTCCTCTCCTCTGCCGCCCACAGGAAAGGCTCCCTGCCCTCCTCTAAGTGACAGCGCAATGTTCCCTCTAAGCTGTGGAGTCCTGTGAGCAAAAATTCTACCTTGCGAGCTCCTGGCATTAAAGTTGTGAGCGGCCAATTTGGCTACTGCCTATTAGTTTGCTCTGGAGCCATCTTTCCTGAGCTGAGTCAAAAATCTGTGAGCCGGAGGCTAAAAAATGGTGAGCTAGCTCACACTAACTCAGCTTAGAGGGAACACTGATCACTGCTAGACTCTGCACAAAAGACAGAGAAGCTGGTTGTTGGTTTACCTTCAAGCTGTGGGATATGAAGCTGCAGGAGAGACAGGCTGATCAGAAGTGGAGGAAGACGTGGAGAATCTGACTGATAACAACTTAGGAGACTGCACTTTGGCTATAGCGATACTGAAGAAGAATCCCCCCCATCACCATTGCATTTAATGCCATCCAGCAGAGCTCTTTTAAGTGGTTAAATGGCTGTTGCTTCCAAGTACCCTGGAGGGAGGGGAACTCTTGGTAGCCGGCTGTGACCAATTTGTTAGACATTTTGTAGATAAATTCACTCACATCTGCTCCTACTTACAGTTTGCACAGATCAAGGGGGGGAGTCTGAAACATCTGCTTGTCCAGTTTTCTACATGAGTTTACTGAGGATATTCAGTTGTCAGATTGCTCTGTGTGGAATGAATGCAGAGTCTATGAAATGAAGAGGAGTACATTGTGGTTCCCCAGACTTTATTAAATCTCTAAGAATACCATACAGAAAAGAGACAGTATTTCAATCTGGTACATCTTTAAAGGAAAAAAAGAAGACAAGAAATGTACTGTGCGGCGGGTGATTCACAGTGCTCATCTTCACATCACGGGAGACTGGACAACGCCTCAACCTAAGGTGCTGCTCACACCTGTCCTAGCCAATCCAAAACCCTTTCCTTACCTTGTCTCTAAAGCCCTTCCATTACCCCGGGGACGATCTTTACCTCCCCAAGGTGCCCCTATTTTCCACCACATGGTAAGCATTCACTCATTGGGGCATTTAGACACCACTGGGAGACCCCTTTTCCACGGCCAGATCTGCCCTAGAGCTGGCCAGGGAACAAGGGCAAAGGACTCCGGAACTCAACGGCTAGACCTAGCTCTACCGTCCTCCTTTCCCTCCTCAAGTGTCAAATGCAGATGTTTCAAGCCTATCCCCTGGCCCACCATCGTTCCTTTCTGTTGCTTACCCGGGAACATCACCAGCATCTTTCCAACTCAGTCACTTGCCGGTAACCCCCCCCCCCCCCCCCCCCCGAGGAGTCCTAGCTCTGTCTTGCTGTTGGACTGAAACGAGTTCTACCACGCTCTGTGATCGTAAGAAATTCTCTTAACCACCTAGGACTCACACGCTCTTGCGCTTGCTCTTTAAATCAATGGGTTTCCTCTACATTCCAGGGGAAGCATTTCTTCCCTCAAATACACACCCAGGTGCAGCAATATAAGCACTGGGGACGGAAGTGCGTGGCCCTGCACATCTAATTACAATCTACACACACAGACAGAATCACAGTCGGTGCCCCCCCGCTCGGCGTTCTCAGTCTGAATCGTCGACGGGGGTTTGATCCTACCAACACTGTTCTACACATGTCTGGCCCCTTCCCGGTAGGCCTCATGCAGCCGCAACAGGTGAGGGGCCCAGGCGCCCACGCCAGTCCCCAGAGGAAAAGCGGCGACGTGTTGGGGGGTGTCTCGCCGCTTCACCCCCTCTGGGCATCTTGAGACATGGAGCGAGACAGCGAGCGAGGCAGGCCTGCTTTCCTGAAGTCGGGGCGGCTGGGCTGGACGACGAGCGGCAACTCCTTGGTGATCTCGCCCAGGGGTATTTTGTCGAGGCACACGCCCGTGGAGGACAAGGACTCCACCGACTCGGACGGGGTCAGCGTCAGCTCCCGCTCGGCCTTGCCACTCAGCTTGGCCGGAGAGAAGATGGGCAAAGGCAAGGCCCGCTGGTAGGGCAGGTGGTAGGAGGCCAGGGGTTCACCCAGGAGCCCGAGGCGGAGGATGCCCCACGGAGAACGTTGCACCACGACGCGGGCCTCCTGTTGCTGGTGGTAGGTCTCCTTGCGCCGCCGGTCTACCTCGGACCACAACCAGCTGCAGAGAGGTAAGCAAAGACAGGTAAAATCCCTGCCGGGGTTGCCAGGCTCCAGGTGGCACCTGGAGGTCTCCCACTATTACAATTGTTGTCCAGATAACCAAGATCAGTTCCCCTGTAGAAATGGCTGTGTTGGGAGGTGGACTCTATGGCACGGTACTCTGCTGAGGTCCCTCTCCCTCCCCCTCCCCAACCCCGCCTGACTCCTAACCTGGAGCTGGCAATACTAGTCGCTGGATATGTGCCCCGTCGGGCCCCCCGCCAGCACGGTCAATAGGATTAGATAATCCCCTCTAAGGAACCTGTGCACCTTCTAAGTTTGCTCCCTGCGGGCAAGGATCAGCGATAAGGCACACCTGTCCTGGTTCGGGCCCATATTTCCAGACTCTGTAAACATCTGGATCGATCAGTGACTCTGATCCGCTAAGAGTCCTGACCTTTGCACATCCTGTACCTGTGGGCATGTTAAAGCGAAGAGTAGCTCGTTAATTATTGTACTATGTAAGCATCCTAAGACATCCTCGCTTCAAGTATCTGTTTTCCCCTGTTTCTGTACGTGCAAGCCCCAGCCCCACCTCACGGTGGGTGAGGGGGGCAGAGTGTGTATAAAATAAACTCTTGCTGCCTTGAAAGGCAGGCAGATTTCTCGACCCTCAAGAGAGCTGTCTCGTGTGATTCCTTCAGCTCCCCCTCAAATCAACTGCTTTTGAGAGGCTCTGGCTCAGATGTGGTCATTTTCTGGAATAGTTTCCCTTTAGAAGGGCTTCCCTTATGTTCTTATGTCTACCGTGACCGGGCTTCCTCTCACTTAATTTGCAGACTCCCAGCTGTAGCATCTGACTCACAGCCCTTTCAGCCCCCTTGCCCACCGGATTGAAGCACTACCTGCATCTCTGATCAAGCCTGTGCCAATCTGAGCTTTACTGGAGCCTCCAACTCACCCTTCCTCAGGCCTGGTGCTCAGCGACAGGTCTTTCCATTCCGCCGAGAAGGTTTCCTTCCGCGCCGTGTCCCTCTCGGATACTTGGCAACCCAGTTCAGCTGCAGTCAGGTTTCCGGAGCTGCGTAGGATCACACTCTTGCCGTGCATGGTGAGGTTGGGGGGTTCTGCTGGAGCTGGGAAGTCTGCCTCTTGTCTTCCTTCCGTCTGGTCTCCTGTCCCTTCGGTGGCCGATTTATATAGATTTCCGAGCACCGACTCTGAGAGGCTTGGCATCTGGAGCTATATCGGTCTTGCGGAGTCACTGGTGGAGCATTCTGATATCGGACACCTCTCTTGCATCCCCCCCCCCCCCAGGATATGTTTGTTATTGGAAACTAAATCTGTGACGTGGCCATATTTTTATGCCCTCTCCACTCCGTCCTTCTTGGAAAGAACCAGCAGCTGTCAACAGGTAATTCAATGACATCCTGACTGAAGATCAGAAGGATTTTCTAACTCCAAAGGTGTAATGTTTTGCGACAACTAGACCCTAGAACAGCAAATCCTATCGGAGGAGGAGGAGGAGATTGGATTTATACCCAGCCCTTTGCTACCTGAAGGAGTCTCACAGCGGCTTACAAACTCCTTCCCCTCCCCACAACAGACACCCTGTGAGGAAGGCGGGGCTGAGAGAGCTCTTTCAAGGACTGCTCTTGAGAGAACAGCTCCGAGAGAACTTGTGACTGACCCAAGGTCACACCAGCAGCTGCATGTGGAGGAGTGGGGGAATCAAACCTGGTTCTCCCAGATTAGGGTCCACGCTCCTCACCACTGCACCAAACTGGCTGGGAAATACATGGAGATTTGGGGCAGAGTCTGAAGAGGGTGGGTTTGGGGGGAACTTCAGTGGAGCTGCGGTGGCTCAAGTGGTTAAGACGCTGAACTGCAGGCTGTGGAAGGTCAGTAGTTCAGCAGTTCGAGACCCGGGTGCCGCATGACGGGGTGAGCTCCTGTCTCTAGTTCCAGCTCCTGCCACCCTAGCAGTTCGAAAGCGAGAAATTGCAAGTAGATAAATAGGGACCACTTCGGTGGGAAGGGAACAGCGTCCCGTGCGCCGGCCACACGACCACGGAAACGTCTTCGGACAGCACTGGCTCTTCAGCTTGGAAACGGAGATGAGCACCGCAACCCTAGAGTCGGACTTGACTGGCCTTCGAGCAAGGGGACCTTTACCTTTACAGTGGGCTATAATGCCATAGAGTCCACTTTCCAAAGTGGTAATTTTCGCCAGGTGAACCCATCTCTGTCACCAGGGGATCAGTTGTAATCCCAGGAGATCTCCAGCCACCACCTGGTTGTTGACACCTGTATTGGGATCAGAGCCTGGGAAGGGTGGGTTTGGGGAGGGGAGGCCTTTTCTTCAGGGGAACCAAGCTCTGTTGTGTGGAGAGCCAGTTTGGTGTAGTGGTTAAGTGCGCGGACTCTAATCTGGGAGAACCGGGTTTGATTCCCCACTCCTCCACTTGCACCTGGCTGGATGACTTTGGGCAAGCCGTAGTTCTGATAAGAGCTGTCCTTGAAAAAGAGCAGTTTGTGTCAGAGTTCTCTCAGCCCCACCTACCTCACAGGGTGTCTGTTGTGGGGAGGGGAAGGGAAAGGAGTTTGTAAGCCGCTCTGAGACTCCAAGTGAAGGGCGGGGTATAAATCCAATCTCTTCTCTTCTTCTCTTCTTGTAATCACAGGAGGTCTCCAGTTGACAACTGTAGTGGTAGTTAAGTGCGCTTCTGGGAGAGGAAAGGCTCTTTGCACAGGAGAAAGGGGCTGTCCTTGGCGGAGTGGAGCAGTAGGATACAGCCCATTCTCCATTCTTCATTGGGGAGGGGCTGTGGCTCATTGGCAGAGCCTCTGCTTGGCACGCAGAAGGTCCCCAGTTCAATCCCCGGCATCTCCAGTTAAAAGGATCAAGTAGGAGGTGATGTGAAAGACCTAAGAACATAAGAGAAGCCAATGCCGGATCAGGCCAATGGCCCAACTAGTCCAACATTCTGTCACACAGTGGCCAGAAATACCAGGTACCCTCAGGAGGTCCATCAGTGGGGCCAGGACACTAGAAGCCCTCCCACTGTTGCCCCCCCAAGCACCAAGAAGACAGAGCATCCCTGCCCCCAGACCGAGAGTTCCTATCTATACCTTGTGGCTAATAGCTACCGAGGGACCTCTGCTCCAGATGCTTACCTAATTCCCTCTTGAAGCCGTCCTGCACCCTAAGGATCTTCCCTCCAGCAGAAAAGCCCCTTAAGTTGGAGGCCAGGTAGGACGGAAGGAAGGAAGAGAGTTGGAATTATACCCTGCCCTTCACTCAGAGTCCCAGAGCAGCCTACAAACTCCTTTCCCTTCCCCTCCCCACAACAGACACCCTGGGAGGTAGGTGGCGCTGAGAGAGCTCTCTTGAGAACTGCCCTTGAGAGAACAGCTCCAAAAGAACTTGTGTGAAGGAGTGGGGGAATCAAACCCAGTTCTCCCAGATTAGAGTCCGTGCTCCTAACCACTACACCAAACTGGCTCTCAGGGATCTGAGCAGGGATTTGAACCCATGTCTTCCCCAGCGTGGATGTGGCGCTCTTGGCTGCTACGCTACACCCACTCTAGCATTATATCCAGGGCTCAAAACGGGGCTGCCCTGTGTCTCTTTTGGGAAACATACAGGAACATGGTTTAGGAGAATAAGTGAACCTCTTGGAAATCCAGATCCGAGTCTGCTGCTCTTAACCATGACACCGAGTGGGAAGTTTGGTTCCACGCCAATAAGGTTTTCGTGAAGTGGCGAACAGGATTGCCAGATTCAACGTTTCACCTCCGGGTGCCTCTTTTCAGTGTGCAGCCTCAGCCTTTGGGACCGAGGAGGGAAGCATTCAAGAAGAGCATCTCAGATCACGTGCAGAGTATGTTTGCTGTTTGTTGGAGTATTTGGAGGGTTGCCAACAGTGTTCCCTCTAAGCTGAGTTGGTGTGCGCTAGCTCACAGTTTTTGAGCCTATGGCTCGCACATTTTTGTCTTAGCTCAGGAAGGAGGGCTCCAGAGCCAAACTAATTTATTCAGGAGCCAAATTGCTCGCTCATGCCAGCAGCTCACAAAGTCGATTTTTTGCTCACAAGACTCCACAGCTTGCAGGGAGCATTGGTTGCCAACCTCCTGGTGGGGCCAGGAGACCTCCTAGAATTACAGTTGATCTCCACAGTACAGAGACTTGTTCCCCTGGAGAAAATGGCTGCTTTGGAGGTTGAACTCTCTATGGCATTATACCTTGTGCTGAGGTCCCTCCCCTCCCTAAATCCTGCCCTCCCCAGGCTCCACCTCCCAAACATCCAGGTATGTCCCAATCGGGAGATGGCAGCCCCAGGTATCTGCAACCGATACCCTCACCATGTCCATGAGACCGGAGTTTCTGCAAGTCGACTGCAGCAGCCCCACCATGTCTCACCTGAAGATGTGGTCTTCCTCATCCTTCTCAGGGGTCATTTCCTGTGGGAGCGCACAGGAGCGGAGCTCCTGCAGTAAAGAGCCCAAGGGGCAGGCACATGCAACAAGTCCCACCCCCTGCTCCCAGCAGCCCTCAGTCAGAGCAAGAAGCAGCCAGGTAAGTTGCAGAGCCCCCCCCCACAGCCCCCCGGTCCAAAATAGTCCAGTGGCACCTTTAAGACCAAGTTTTATTCGGGTACCAGCTCTCTCTTTTTCTACGAAATGACCCCTGATCCTTCTTATAAGTCAAGTATTTGCAAATATTTGAGCTCCATCAATTTTGGCCATTCCAGTTCTGAATGGGTAATTCTAGCTCAAGATTTTACTCCGATTTGTTGGTGCATCTTGATTTTTTTGGGGGGGGAGGCCTCGAAACTGAGATTTCATAATATGTCAAAAAAAAAACCTTGGAATGTCAAATGCTGCCGCTTTCAATGACAGGGGGAAGGGGCGTCAAGTCACAGCCAATATATGGCGACCCTGTCGGGTTTTCGAGGCCAGAGACGTTTCCAAGGGGGCTGTCCATTGCCTGCCTCCGTGCCACGACCCTGGTGTTCCTTGGAGGTCCCCCATCCACTTACTAGAGCCGGTTTGGTGTTGTGGTTAAGTGCGCGGACTCTAATCTGGGAGAAACGGGTTGGATTCCCCACTCCTCCACTTGCACCTGGCTGGATGACCTTGGGCAAGCCGTAGTTCTGATAAGAGCTGTTCTTGAAAAAGAGCAGTTTCTGTCAAGAGTTCTCTCAGCCCCACCCACCTCACACGGTGTCTGTTGTGGGGAGGGGAAGGGAGAAGGAGTTTGTAAGCCGGCTCTGAGACTCCTTCAGGTAGTGAAGGGCGGGGTATAAATCCAATCTCTTCTCTTCTTCTCTTCTTTACTAGCCGGGGCCGACCTTGCTCAGCTTCTGAGAGATCGAGCTAGCTTGGGCTATCCAGGCCAGGGGACTTCCACGGTCTATATAAAACGAAACATTTTCTGAATCCTTTACCAAGAGATTAGCACAGGCTTAAAATTCGCAGGCAAACACAAGGGGGGAGGGGTTGCAGTCTGGTATACGTGCTACAACAAAAATACTGCAACAGTGCAAACTATACAATGGATCATATGAAAAATAACAGAAAAATCATTCCATGATGTTTAATCTTATTCTTTTTTCAATCTAGACGTCATAAGATGAATATACACAACGTCATGAAGAAGCGAAGTTCTCCGGAGTAACCGTTTCGTTTCGATATCTCTTTTTCATACACATTACAGTTAGTTCTGCTTCCACATTCTCTTTCCCCTTTCCAAAGGATATCTCTGATATCTCTAATTCCAAAACTGCTAAAGGACAGCTTATAACCGGCACATGGCCTATGTATCAAATCGGGCTGTGTGTATATTCATCTTATGACGTCTAGATTGAAAAAAGAATAAGATTAAACATCATGGAATGATTTTTCTGTTATTTTTCATATGATCCATTGTATAGTTTGCACTGTTGCAGTATTTTTAAAATTCACAAGGGCAGCCAGGAGCTGCTTTCTGGGACCCTCTGAATGTTCAGCTCGAATATTACTGGCACTGGAGCAGGTGTTCCGGGTGTGTGTGTGGGGGGAAGAAGCCGTACAGTGGAAAACCACCGAGGGAAAGATGGAGGGCTCCAGTGATTGGCGAGGGGAGGAAGGGGCTGTGCTGGGGGAGGCCGGGGTGAGGTGTCTGGGGGGTGAAGTCATTGGG